CACACAATTTTGATCAGGATTATTTTACAGACTCTTAGGTAAAAAAGTTTAGTAATGGTAGCCAGGCAAACCAAGTTGAAATTAGGTTCCTTACAGGTCCTGCTTCTCTCTGAGTCCCTAAAGCAAGGACTACTGAAAAATGGCAGCACACTAGCTGTTCTCCGGAGAAGGTCCTCATTGGTGGATGGCCATCTCCATCCAACTGTTCATCAGTCCCCAGGTCACTGAGCTGGGGTCATTGTTGTATGTGTGTCAAGGTATTTCCTACTGATATTCTGAGGGAATCAATACTTAATACTCAAATATAGTTCAAAGATGGCAAGACACTATAAACTTTGTCATTTATACTGCTTAATACTTTGTAGGAAGATTTATGTTTTTGAAATAATCTAAATTGACATCATGCTACTTACACACACACACAAACTGACATTGTTGTTTAGTCTCGTAACACTTGTCCAAACGAGTTTGTGTTTTCATTTTTCTGGTACAGAACGAATACGAGCTCTACATGGCCATCCTTCTGGACTCCCAGCCGACAGCCCAGTATGAGGTAACAGCCATCCGTGCAATCACATCCCTTCACTCACATTTTGAATTCAATTAAGTTTAAAACTTCCATCTTATAAATTTGGAAGCAGAGTTTCTTTTGATGCTGTTGTCGTTATTGTTATTACAGTTCTAATTGTTGTTGTTGGTAGGTGCTGTTGAGTCAATTCCAACTCACAGTGGCCCTGTGTACAACAGAGTGAAACATTGCCTAGTCCTGTGCCGCCTTCATAATTGTTGCTATGTTCGAGCCCATTGATGTAGCCACTGTCAAACCATCTAGTTGAGGGCCTCTTCTTCGCAGACCCTTACTTTTGCAAGTATGATGTCCTTCTCCAGGGAATGGTCTCTCCTGATAACATGTCCAAATTACGTGAGACGAAGTCTCACTATCCTCACTTCTAAGGAGCATTCTGGCTGCACTTCTTCCAAGACAGATTTGTTCGTTCTTCTGGCAGTCAACGGTATATTCAATATTCTTCACCAACACCATAATTCAAAGGCATCGATTCTTCTTCGGTCTTCCTTAGTCATTGCCTAGCTTTTGCATGCATATAACGTGATTAAAAATACCATGGCTTGGGTCAGGTGCACCTTAGTCTTCAAAAAGGAATTTCTTTATATATGACAAAATCAGAGCATTACAAGCTGGTAGGTTCCAACTGCCTTCTCAAAGAAAAATCACTCGTATGTTTTTCTTTGTTTTGATCCTTCTTATGCAGCAGAAACATAAGCTTCATGTTTTACAGGAACAAGTGAAGATGCCATTTGGGGCCTACCTCTTCCTTACTTTCCAAAGTTGAGCCAAAAAGGAACATATGGTCCCATATCTCAATCAAACACCAGGATGAAAGAACTCACAAACTAATAGGACTCTAGATCCTTCTTTCTAAAAAGAATTCTTCTTTCTAAAAAGTCTGAAAGCTTGACAGCACCCATCCCCCTCTAAGGCAGGAATCTTCATTGCCCCACATTTGAGTATAATATTGTTTTATCTCCATGTATAGTAATTAATAATTTTATCATTAATTTAGGAGAACTGATTGTGGTGCTGATAAGTAATCTATCAGAAGCACTATATTAAGTACATCCTCTCCCAATACAAAACAACAATGAAACTCCCCACTGTTTCAAAATATTTCTTAGGAAAATAAAATCTTTAAATTCTGAAAGAAATCATTTTACCCAGAACTTCACTTGACTAGCTATCCTTCCTTCAATACTTCTCCCTCCCTTAAATCCTTCCTCTTGATTTATTCAACTATAATTTTTTTTTAACCCAGGATGCCTTGAATGCCCTGTGGTAACAACACCATGCCCATAGCCTCCTGCCTGTTGTCTCATACTCTGTGTGCCTTGTCTTGTCTAGACGCTGCTGGCTCACATCAAGGGACTGGAAAGGAGGCCTGTGAAGACGGCCGATGTGGACCGGGCCAGGGAGGAGTTGAGGGTGACTGTGAGGGCCACCAAAGCCGCCCTGGAGCACAATGACAAGTAAGGGGTCAAGGATCTGATTGAATCTATTTTTGGACACATTTATTTACAAGCTCTTAAAACCACGTGATAAACACGTTGCGGTACAATGAATCGTTTTTGTGTGGACTTTCTAGCCATGGTCTTGTAACTCCCACCCAAGTGACTGGGCAGGACTTCTTGATAGGGTAATTGCGGTCCACCCAAGGGATAGGTCAGTTTTGCCATCCTTCTGGGTTTGAAATGAGCCACCCCAGAGTCAGGGAAGAGAGAATCCCAGCACCACTAAGGAAGAACAGCCAGTAGCTAGCATGTCCTTTGGATCCGGGATCCCTGTGCTGAGAAGCTCCTGGAACCAGGAGACAGAGGGAGAGTGAGCTGTAACACTGAAGACTGCAAAAGCAGGCAGCAGAGACTTGGCAGCTGAGACCTGGCAGTAGGAGATGGCATGGTGGGCTTTCACAGAGAGAAAACAGTGCCTTTGGGGAGAGGCCTAGGGCCAGAGAGAGGTGTGCCTGCAAGCATGGCTGGAAAGAGGCTGTCCTGATGGAAGAACTGTATCCTTGGGTGTTCCTGAGCCTGAACTGTAGCCTGTGACTCCCCTAATAAACCCCATAATCATGATTATGGTTTATGAGTTCTTCGTGGCCATTGTGATGAATTATTGAACTTAGCAGAGAAGTAGAGAGTGCTGTGAGAGGGATGGTTGGTGTCAGAATTAGTAAAGATAATGGAGAGAGGCGGCATGTCTGAGCTCTTCATAGTAATCAGCCTTGGGCTGTGGATCTTGATTCTCCTTTCCCCTTGTGAAGTTAGAGAAGGTCAGACACCACCCCCACGCCATTTTTACAGTTGGTGTCAGAATTAGTAAAGATGGAGGAGAGAGGAAGCTTGTCTGGCCTCCGCTTCATGGGAGTCAGCCTTGCGCTGTTGATTTTGGTTCTCCTTCCCCCTCGTGAGGTTGGAGGAGGTCAGACACCACCCCCAAGCCATTTTTACACATGTATTTACAATTTTTCTGCATTGTTTGATGAGGAGTGCTACCTCTACCAATATCACACCTGTCCTCTGGCCTTTTTGCAAGCCGTCACACATGCAATTAGGGTATTCTACTCAATCTGAAGTTTCCATGTGGGGGAGGGGGAGTCGGAGAGGTTTCTGTGAAGGATTCTCACTTCTCATTTGGCAATTCCACAAGGACTTACTAATAGGTGAGAGGGCTACAGAGACAAAATGCTTCTTATGAATCCCACCATTATTTTCTTAACTTAAAAAAATTCATGTAAACTCTCTTTATAGTCTTCCAAGATCAAATCACAATTGGATAGGAAACATTGTTTGTAAAAGATTCAAAAAAAAAGAAGAAGAAGAAGGAAGATTAAAGCAAAATAATGGCAATCATGTAAATCTAAAATCCAGAATACGTCCTCAAGAACTCCTCCCAAAAAAACTATGTTCTCAGTGTAGCTAGAAAATGGAAAGCATCCAACATTCAAGATACCTTAGAAGAATAAACATCAAGTGTCAGTGACCCATTGTCTGAGCTCTTGCTGCCAGCCTTTGTGAGAGCAAGGGAAGTTTGGGGAAAAGCTCATGGAAGACACAAGAGTGGAGCTAGTGGAAGGCATACAACCACTGCCAGAGAGAGAATCCACCCTACGGGAAAACACTGCGGAGGGACACTGATAGATCCATCAGAGCATGGCTACAGGGAGGTGACGTAAAGTGATGTGGAATCAAACAGACGGTTTGAAACAATAACAATACAGTAAGAAGAGAGTTAAGAGAAAGTGAGCAGCATTCTTCAGACTGTGCAGTGAAGGGAAAAAGAAGCAAGAAAGAGAAATTTAGAATCCTAAAAAAAAGAAAAGAAATCAAAGGGCACACAACCCTTTCCCACAACCCTTCTTGCTTCCCTCCAAACAAAAAGGCTATCCAGTAAAAATTAAAACAAAACAATAAAACAAAACAACAACAACAACAAAACATAATTTTCTACACTGACAGAAAAGGGTCCTGTTGAATGAGGAATCTCACATACTACTCCACAGCACCAGGCCTTTTCACAAAAATGCAGAGGTATAAACAATTTTTGTCTATATATAATACTATGGAAAGAAAACAGAAAATGATGATCCAAACAATTTAGCTGATAAATATACCTCCCTTGTCAAAAAAAAAAAAAAAAATTAAAGAAGAATAAGACTGTAACACAGCACTCCAAACTAAGTTAAATAGTCTCAAAAAAAAAAAAAAAAAAAAAAATTCAGGATATGAAAACAACCTTGAATCAGAAATTTAAAAACTTTGCATAGAAGTCAACAACAAAAAAGGAAGAAATGAAACAGACTTGACAATAGGGAAAGAATTAGCTGAGAAAGTCAAAATTACATCAAACATCAAAACAACGTTACAACATGCTGAGGAAGAATAGTTTTGAATGAAGATATAATAAGGTGCATTGGCGAAAAATAAGAATACCACCAAGAGAATACAAATGCGAAGAGATAAAAAGAGAGAAAAGTGGTTGAAATAGAAAACAAACAAAGAAGATCCAATTCACCTATAATTGAAGTCTCTGAAGAAGAAAAATAAAGCAATGAAACAGAAATATTTGAAACTATAATATACGAAAACTTTCTGGAAATTAAACCCTCTGAATTTACATATTGAAAAGGTTATTATCATTATTATTAATCTATCGGACCTCCAGTTTCTTAAAATGGAAGATCATACTACCTTTCTCTTTCTCCTTTAATCTGTGATAAAATGAGCTAATGTGTATGCAAATCTTCTTAAAACATGAGGCCTCTCATAGTTATGTGGCATTAAATGATTTGTAGTGCTTGATTTTTTAACCAAAGCACAGTTATTTCCCTTAGTGTATGCAATACCTCGTTGTTGTTGTTAGGTGCCATCAGGTCGATTTCAACTCAGCAATCAGATGTGACAGAGTAGAACTGCCTATATGGTTTTCTAGGCTGTAATCTTTATGGGAGCAGACTGCCAGGTCTTTCTCCTGTAGAGCCACTGGTGGGTTTGAACTGCTAACCTTTTGGTGAGCAGCTCAGTGCTTAATTATTGCACCACCAGAGCTCCTCAATACCTCATTTAACCAAAAAACCAAATCCTTTGCTGTCGAGTCAATTCCGACTCATATCAACCCTGTAGGACGGAGTAGAAATGCCTCCTAGGGTTTCCAAGGAGCAGCTAGTGGATTCAAACTGCCAACCTTTTGGTTAGCAGATGAGCCCTTAATCACCAGACCCCTTTTTTTTAATTCTCTAAATATATTAGAAATAATATAGCCTATTTAGTTTATTTTGAACCAAGAAGAGGATAGAAAGAGGTTACAATTTTTTTTCCACTTTTTAAAATTTCTTGCATATTATTTTTAGTTCAAACATAGTGGAATTTGTAAATTATACCTGTGGGAGGGAGTCACAAAAATGCACAGGAAAAATGCACTTGACTAACTTAGACTCTTGTTTTATATACATCTTCAAGTTATCTTTTCTTTGGCTGGAAACTAAAGAGATAAGTTTTATCTCTGAATTAAAAAAAAAAGACTTGTAAAAATAGTCAAAAGAATAAAGGTACAAATGGGGTTCAAATGTTCACTATTTTTTTCTGTTATCGAATTGTAGACTCAGAAGTGAATTAGAGATGGAGCATTTGTTGCTGCTGTTGGCTAAAGAAAAATCAGGCAAGTAATTTGCTGTGACTTTGGGTGAAAAAACTTCATACTTAGTCTCAGCGTACATGGCCTCCTGCTATTACCTATCTGAAAAGGTTTTTCCAAGAAGTTATTACATTTTATTTATTTATTTTTGCAATAAGTGTTCATTTCATCTGAAATCATGTAAGTGAAAGTCTTTAAAGGCATGAGGATGTGGTCAATCTCTTTGGAGGTTCCTTCCAGGTTGAAATGATAATCCCAGTTTCTGTTACTGAGGGTACCCCTGGTTATTTAGTTTCTGTGTATCCAGATACAACATAAGCACCATTTCATTATTCTCTCAGGCCTTGGTTTGTTGTTTTTAGTGAACCATTGGATTAATTCAGGGCCTTGTACAGAGGATTGTGTCAAATTTTGATCACAAAACTTTGGAATTGATGCAAAGAAAATTGGACCAAATTATATCCATACAGAGATTAAGGAGCCCTGGTGATGCAGTGGTTAAGCACTCAGCTGCTAACCAAAAGTTCAGCGGTTTGAACTCACTAGTCGCTCTGTGGGAGAAAGATGTGGCAGTCTGCTTCCACAAAGATTACAGCTTTGGAAACCCTGTGGAGCAGTTCTGCTCTGTCCTATAAGGTCGCTATGAGTCAGAATTGACTTGACCGCAATGGGTTTTTATATGGGGATTAGATCTGATGAGGAAAAGTTGAAGGACTATAAGTTGTTTGTCCTAGAGAAAGTGTCTTAAAGTGTGTGACGACATTTAGAGGGAATTATGGCCACTGGCTCAGTACATGCACGGGAGGTGAAACAGAGAAAGAGCAGCTGTGACCTCTTGTGGTTACCAGGGTAACAGCCAGGAAGACACAGTCCATTGTAGTTTCCAGAAACTTCAGATTTTCATTCCTAAAAAGAGGTAAGCCTGTCCCCAAGTGGAGTCCACTCTGCCTTGCAAACACCTGCACATTTTCTGCCCATTTCAGCCCTCTTCCTCACCATGGCAAGTGATGGTGGAGGGGTTGCTAGGGAAGCTGGTTGTCTTCCTGACAGGTGACATGACCCATCGTAGTCAGACAGACTTACCCCTAACTCCTCCCACTTCCTACTGTGCGACTCTGGGCTTCGTCGTTTAAACTTCTTTCAGCTGCCTGTTAAGTGGGAATAATGACAGCCCTTTTCCTCTGAGGTTTGTTATTTTGACTCTACCTATCTTTACACCCCAGATCCAGTCAATCACCATGCCCTGCTTTTTTCTACTGCCTAAATAGGTTTTATGAGGTGTTGGTGGTTCAGTGGTTCAAACCTCACCTTCCATGAGGCAGACCTGGGTTGAATTCCTGGCCAGGAACCTCATGGGCAGCCACTACCTGTCTGTCTGTGGAGGCTTGTGCATTGCTGTGATGCTGAGCAGGTTTCAGTTGAACTTCCAGACTCAGACAGACTAGGAAGAAAGACCTGGGGATTGACTTCTGAAAATCAGCTGAAGAAACCCTTACGGATCATAAGGGTCTGATCCACAACTCATCGTGGGGATGGCACAGGCCCAGGCAGTGTTTCCTGGTGTTGTGCACGTGGTCACCATGAGTCAGGGGATGCCTAGGAAGCAACAAACAATGTCAACAAATAGCTTTTGCCTGTCTCCACTTTCTCTTGTGCCTTAGGTCTCCTGACCTGATGGAGGGTCACTTCTGGGTGATGCAGTCACTTTCTTACTGTGTTCCTGATTCTGGTCTTGCCCTTCTCATCCCTTTTCTGTCTTGTAGACAGAATGACCATCACCTGCTTGCACTTCTCCCCAGCCGAAAAGCTTTCAACAGCTTTGACTGACTCCTTCACAGAGGTTACAAAGCCTTCCAGAACTACCCCTGCTCCTGTCTGCTGTCACCTCTTGGCCCTCAACGCTCTGATTCACCATATGCTTCTCTTTTTACTGAATGTGCCAAATTCTGCTCCACTGCCCCTCTGCCCCCCTCACACTTGTCTGAGTCCTGATCATCCTTTGTGTTTCAACTCTGTCTCAGTCCTCTAGTGCTGCTGTAACAGGAATACCACAAGTGGATGGCTTTAACACAGAGAAGTTGATTCTCTCACAGTCTAGGAGGCTAGAAATCTGAGGGCACAGGCTCCAAGGGAAGGCTTTCCCTGTCTGTCAGCTCTAGGGGAGGGTCCTTGTTATCAATCTTCTCCTGGTCAAGGAGGTTCTCAGCGCAGGGACCCCGTGCCCAAAGGGCACACTATAATTCCGGTGGTTCTTTCTTGGTGGCATGAGGTCCCTGTCTCTCTGCTTGCTTCTGCCTTTTATATCTCAAAAGAGTTTGACTTAAGACACAACCTAATCTTGTAGATTGAGTCCTGCCTCCTTACCATAACTGCCACTAATCCTGCCTCGTTAACATCATAGAGGTAGGATTTACAACACAGGAAAATCACATCAGGTGACAAAATGGTGGACAATTGCACAATACTGGGAATCATAGCCTAACCAAGTTGGTATACTAGGGGGACGTAATTCAATCCATGACAAACTTAGTCACAGTTCTCTGGCAAAGTCATCCTCTGAGACTTCCCCACATTGTGTTAGGTGTTCTTGCTTCTTCTCCTCATTGCATCTTCTACTCCCTTTCTATAACTTCCTTGTGGTTACTGCTTGGTCTGCACTGCTAGATCATAAGTTCTGGAAAGCGCTATTTGTCCTAATTCACCGCTGATCCTTTCCACCTAGTATAGTGTCTGCACAAATTAAGTAATCAATAAATATTTACTGATTGAGTGGGTGAATTAAAGGAGGAATATCTCCATTGTTGGAATGGATTACTTGTATTGAAGTGCTTGGAGTTAGAGCTACATTATATTATATAGCTATATACAGTAAAACCTGTGACATCCAGAACCTGTGTAAGGCAGACACCTGTTAGAGAAGGAAAACGAAAATATTTTCCATTAATAGAGAGTGTCAAAGGCGGAAAACTTTCGAAACCCAGAAAAACAAGGCAGTCCAGTAGAGTTCTGGCTCTCACAGGTTTCACTGTATGTATTTTAACATGCAAAATGGTGTTAATAATACATAATACAGTTAATAAGTAAGGGCTGAGATATTAAACACAGTCGTATTTTACTTTAAAAAATATTTCCAGAATCATCTGAGAAAAATGTAATTGAAGAGGAAGACCTTACTCTTATTGAGAAGGTCGAAAAGAAGAGGTGTGAAATACTCAATAAATGGGACGAAATTCAAGCTCTTGAAAAAGAAATTAAAACGACTTTGATTCATAAGGGGATTTCAGACATCACTGAGAGCAGCATTAAAAGCATCGAGGTATGCAATTCCGTTCCTGAACGTTAAGATTGTCCTTTGGATTTAGACCTCGGCAAACACATGAAGCTGTTTGATTTTTGTTATAACAGAGTGAAAATACTGTAAAATTCAGTCCGAACGTCTTTTCCTTTCAAAAAGTTTGTGGCAAATAATTCGAATGATGAGAGAGATCTAATGAAAACTTGACAGAAATGAAGATGATTAAAAACGTCTTATAGAACAATAATAATGTTCAAATAACAATAATAATGTTCAAATTCGATCTCTTTCAGCTCAGTGTTCAAACTGGATATCTTTCAGGTCAATTTATGTCTTTTATAAGTTAACAGTTTTGGATAGAAAATGCTTGTCATAAAAATAATGGCTTCCATAATTAGTACGTACTAAGTAACTTTAGCAGAGCTCAGGAAGTTTAAGTAACCTTCCCAAGATGACACAGTTTGGACGTGAAAAAGCTGGGATTCAAGTCTAAGTCTTTTTTGGCTCCAAAGCCCTTATAATTTTTCTTATGTGCTATTGACTCCATAGTTCGTTTTTCACTTAGTTGTACAGCTATGCTGGAAGATAGGAATTCGTTACTGCCATTCAAAGGCGAGTTTACGACATAAAAAGTAGTTTTTTATTGAACAACTTTTCCTAACCATTTTCTTGATAAGTAATAAAAATGTAAAGTATAATTTACATATTTGGAATGCTATGCTGCCTGCTTTTTACATGCCATATCTTCATCTTCATTGGTGCAGAATCCAAATCAATGTAAACGCTAGTTAGGGAGTTTACAAATGATAAGTCATTATTCTTTTTCCCCTGGTTATACAGTTACATATATTTTTCCCAGCATTGTCCCTCTTTGCCAGCAATCACATAATACTTTTCGTTCCAAAAATGGGGAAGAATAGTTAACAAATATTCTTAACCATGCGTCTTGCTTTTAAAACCATTTCTCTTTCAGAGTGAAGCTACAAAATTGGAGACAGCAAACAGGGTTTTAAAGAAGAAAATCAGTGTAAGTTTTTGTGAATCAGTGGACATCAATATAAACATTTCCTCTAGAGTCTGCTTGTTCTGTGTCATAAACCAAATAAGAATATATGTGTTCTCTTTTTATAGTTCTCTATAATGCTAGGACTATCTTGCTATGTAGACATTAGACTGAAACTGGATAGGTTTGAACTAATATATTAATAAAAAATTTAACCATTCTTTCTGAATGGCTGAATAAGCCACTGAAACTGACCATGTCTCCAACCATCCGCATTACGGTTCATTGTACTGTTTAACGAGTGTATTGGGCAGCAAAGAATATGAGGAACTGGTTCCTCTAACAACTTCCAGGATATCCTTGGAGACACACCAACCAGTTGTTGTTTAACAGATTATAATTCTGCTTCTATCCATATGTGTATCTCTCCTACAATACTATATATAGTGTGATTCAATGTGTTATTACCCATGCTGTTACACATGACTGAATGATTTATCATGTGCGGTAGGTTATTGAACAGCATGGGAAGCACATCATGGAGAAGAGCAAGATGAGTGAGCAGGAGCAGCAGTAAGTACTGATCCCATAATGAAAGAAGGCAAACAGTATCATTCTCTACTCCAAGCCATTCATACAAAATGAGATGGTACCCCTAGCGGGTTCACATTCACGAGTATAAACTTTAAATATACCTGCTGCATCTTTGTTTGTGCTTAAGAACGCTTAGTCCAAGGTGTAGACTTGAACATATATGCATCATTTAGCAACACAGAAGTAAACTGAATTGTAGCCGGATTCTAATGAGTGGTGTCTTCATTTCCTATGGCTGCTCTAGCAAACCACCACAAAACGTGGGGCTTTAAAGAATAGAAATGGATTGTCTCGTGGTTCTGGAGGCCAGAAGTCCAAATTGAGGGTGTCAGCAGGGCCATGCTATCTCTGTCTGCTCTAGCAGAAGATCCATCCTTGCCTCTTCTGGCTTCTGGCAACTCCAGGCGTGTCTTGGAGCTCCTTGGCTTGGAGAATTAGCTTTAGGCGGCTATATTCCCTAGCCCTAGTGGCACCGTGTTACGTGCTCGGCTGCTAACCAAAAGGTGGATGATTCGAACCTACTAGCTGCTCCATGGGAGAAAGATGTGGCAGTCTGCTCCAGTAGAGATTTACAGCCTTGGAAACCCTATGAGGCAGTTCTACTCTGTACTATAAGGTTACTATGGGTCGGAATCAACTTGATGGCCATGGGTTTGGGTTTGGGTTTGGTTTGGTCTCTCTGTGTCTCATCTCCTTTTTTATAGGACACCAGTCATATAGGATTAGGTACCACCCTACTCTGGTATGACTTAACTTATAATAACTTCAAAGAAAGACCTTTCTTAGCCAAACAAGGTCACATTCACAGGCACAGGGGTTATGACTCCAACATGTCTTTTGAGGGACACAATTCAACCCATAGTTGGCAGTAAACAGTAAAAAGACTTTTGGGTGTAGGGGTCCTAGGCTCAGTGATATTACCAAGGCACCAGAATTCTTCTTTCTTCCTGTTGTCCTTTGAGTATGGTTTGCTTCTCAAGGCTGTCTTCAGGCATCAGGTCAATGTTTCATGGAGAAAGGAAGGGGAAGGTGAAGAACAAATGACAAAGAGCTTCTCACCATGAGGCTGTCCCATTTTACCTAGGAAGAAAAGCCCTTCCTAGGGACTTCTGCCATGTCCCATTGGCCAGTGTGGCAAGGGAGGCCAGAGATAGAACATTCCAGTCCTCAGCTTACTTGATAGGGAAAGCCATGGAAGACAGGGGTTAGAATGGTGCTGCGTGAAGCCATCTACAGTCAGCCATGTAGGGTGGGTCCAGGTTTTGTGGAGCCTCAGGTCATGTCGGTGCCCTCTTACAGGAAACACATGCAGAACTACAAACACACAATAGGTAAGGCTCTCTCCATGGCCTTGGCAAAGGTCCATGCAAGTGAAGGGGCCTGAAGTCTTCGCATCATCATCTTCATGTAAACCCATCTCCGCTACCAAATATATTTGGTCTGAAAAACGCTGTCCCCTCATGCTGGGTCTGATGGCGACCATGGTGACATTTAAAAGTATGGTGGTCTTCTTTCTTTCCCAGTAAGTGACATGACTGGTGATCAGCTTTCTTTAGGGATCTTCTCTCAGCAATGGGAACTACCTTGGTAAATGACCACAAGAAGGGAGACTAGAATACAGTCCATCCTGGGGTCTGGCAGTGCACTGGGCACTGTAGGAGGTAGACGGAAGGAAGCCCTGCTGAATGTTTTGACTTTGCTACGATCAGTGCAGTTGAGGTTTGTCATGGATTGAATTAAGGAGCCCTGGTGGTGCAACAGTTAAGAGCTTGGCTGCTAACCAAAAGGTTGGTGATTTTAACCGACCCAGTGGCTCTACTGGAGAAAGACCTAGCAATCTGCTCCTGTAAAGATTGCAGTCTTGGAAACCCTACGGGGCCATTCTACTCTGTCACATGGGGTCACTATGAGTCAGAACTGACCTGGTGGCACCCAAAGACAACAACAACATCATGGATTGAATTGTGTCCCCAAAAAATATGTGTTGGAGTCCTGGCCCCATCTCTGTGGATGTAATCCTATCTGGGAATAGAATTTTCACTGTTATGTTAATGAGGTCATATCAGTGTAGGATGCATCTTAAATGCAATCACTTTTGAGATGTAAAAAATGCAGATTAGACATAGCAACTATCACAAATGGGACTGGTGCTGTGGGGGAGATAGTTGCTACTTGGGGGTTGCCAAGGAACTGAGGAATGCCGGGGTTACAGAAACTTAAAGAGGTCTTCCTCCAGAGTCAACAGAGAGATTGAGACAGAGAAGGGAGCAGAGAGAGTCTTCTGCTAAAGCTAGTGCCCTGAATTTGAACTTCTAGCCTCCTGAACTGTGGGAAAATACATTTCTGTTCTTTAAAGCCACCCACTTGTGGTATTTCTGTTATAGCAGCACTAGCCAACCAAGACTGGTTATTCTGCCAATTGAGTCACTTTCTTGCCCTAAATTGTGAATATTTTAAGTGTCAAATGCTAAAGCGTAATTACAGGAATATATCCATATACTTAGAGCATCTCTGCTACATTTAAGGCCAAAAATCTTTTAAAAGTATCCTTTAAAACGAAAGGGGAGGATTGCAAGGTTTCATCTTGTCTGTTTTTGGGTAAATGTCTGTGTCCTAAAATAAATGTTTATTTTGAAATTTTCATTTATGCTTAATGTGCTTTTTTCCTAATCTGTTATACTCATTTGCATTTTTAGGGACCTTTGGGGATTTATTAATGAATTTGTAAAATTGGAAGAAACAAAAAGTAACTCTCACGTAACTGGAGAAATGACCCATGGAAATTAAGAATGCCTGTGTACATAGCGTGGATGTTTGCAGACATGTAAATTAATGAAGATATATTTCATTTTGTAGTGTTTAGTTCTTGATAAAATGTTATTTGTATCCTGCTCAAGTTAGTGAAATAAACACATGGACACCTATGAGTAGTTTTGCGTTTGTATACATGTTTTTAACAATACAAAGTTCTTAGAGTGTTTTCTCTTTCATTTCATAAGTTTCTCCTGGGAGGAAAATGTTGTCAGTTCTGACTCATAGCGACTGCATGTACACCTCCTGGTCCTGCTCCATCCTCACAATCATTGTTATGCTTGAGCCCATTGTTGCAGCCACTGTGTCAATCCATCTCGTTGAGAGTCTTCTTTTTTTATCAATGACTCTACTTTACCAAGCATGATGTCCTTCTCCAGGGTCTGATCCCTCCTGATAACATGTCCAATGTATTTGAGATGAAGTCTTGCCATCCTTGCTTCTAAGGAGCATTCCAGCTGTGGGGAAAAATACTTTTTATTATGTAAAAGAAATGGGAAATTCAGTACTGCTGTCATACAAAGTCCCCAGGTCGCACCAACAGTTTGCCCATAACTATTAACCTAACAGTGGTTCGAACCCACTCAGTGGTGCCACAGAAGAAAGGCCTGGTGATCTACTTCTGTAAAGATTACAGCCAAGAAAATCCTAGGGAGGCATTCTACTCTAACACAGGGACTCACCCTGAGTCGGAATGGACTCAAAGGCAATGGGTTTGGTTTTGGTTTGTAATACAGATAGAAGTTTTTCCTACCTATTTGCTTATGCAGATTTATATATAGGCATTTGATATAATTTAGTAGTGACCCAATTAGTATCCATTTAATTAAATAATTGGTACTAGTTGTAAATAACAGAGCGCATTACTAAGGTCTCAACACCAGCATGGTGCAGGGCACTGCACGTGGCTTAACCGATGTGATCCTCACAACCGGGGAATTTTTATTTAACCCCATTTTCCCTAAAACCTAGTTTGAATGCCTAAACTCAATGCAAGCTCGAATTTTTTTGAACAACCATATACAGGGCTTTTGTGAAGATGAAATGTAAATGGAGAGGAGCAGACATGAGGGATTTAATCCTCACTTGGAGTCCTGGATATGAGGTCAGGGAGCGAGAAAGCAGTGTCTGCGCTGTCTGGGCCGGGAGGACAGGGTAAGGGAGGCGAGCTCCTCATGGCTCTCCCTAAGGTGACTTTGCTCTTCCTAGGGCACGATTCAGCCGGCTGTTAGAGTACAGTGTGACAGCTACTGAAAATGGTCACTGTATCTAGAAATCAATTGGATTTCATAAATATTTCTCGAGTTCTCTCTGCTCTAGGTGCTTTCTATTGGTTATTTAGGTCCATTCAGACGTGTGCAAAAAGTCACCAAGCTGTCCTTAGATGAACTTCATCTGTCATACCCCTTCAAAAACACACGCCCCCTAACCTCCATATCGCACCCCCTACTGCACCCCAATGCATGCTAATTCGTTCCTGGGATTGCCTGCCTAGTCTCAGAAGATTCATGAATTTTGCATAAGTTCCCTAACCTGAACCCTGTAACTGAACTAGAATCCTCAACCTCAGGGACCTTGATTTGAGACTTAAAAGTCTCCAAGCTCCTTGCTTGACCGGCTGGCAATAAAGTCCACTTTCTCTTTCTCAAGGGCCTGGTGTCTCTCAATTGACTCGGGTGTCGTGCCGGCAGGACCCACCCTCAGGGTTACAGCATCATCTTTCCCGTTACACAGAGAAGAAAGCTAGAATGTGAGGTACCGTACCTTCCCAGATGTATACTGTAAACAGTGAGCCAGGATCTGAGCCCAAATGTGGCCAGTGCCATTCCTAAACTCTTACCACAGCATTATGGATGCCGTTTATATCCATCACCAGTAGAGACACAGGAAAATGAATTTATGTGTCGTCAGAGTGACAGAAAGACCCCTAGAACTGAAAACAAACGAACGAAGCTCAGTTTGTCCAACAAGGAGGGAAGGAATATCCTCTCAGCGGACCAGACTAGGGAGTCTCCCATTTGAAAGTAGAGAGGCTATATGGCTATAGAGCTAAAGGAGGGGTGTTATTCCATAGGAAGAGGACCTTTAGACATTAATGGAGCCCTGGTGGTCCAGTGGGGAAGCGCTCGGCTGCTAACCGAAAAGTCGGTGGTTGGAACCCACCAGCCGCTCTGAGGGAGAAATATGTGGCCGTCTGCTTCCATAAAGATTACAGCCTTGGAAACCCCACGGAGCAGTTCTACTCTGTCTTGTAGGGTCACTGTGAGTTGGAATCGATTCGATGGCAATGGGTTTCGTTTTAGTTTTTAAGACACCGAGTTCTGCATGGTTTGTTGGGGAATTGCAAAATCCTCCCTTTGATCTACCATTCTGGATAATGTCACAAAAGCACTGTTTTCAGAGGCCTGAGGTGGGCTATGGTAAAGCTCTGTGAAAATCCAAGTCTTGCAGCAGACACTTCCTTGCGTGCATCCTGGGGCTTGGCAAATTTCCTTTTAAAAACCAGTAAGTAATCCTACTGTTCATTCCTTTATTCAAGCACTGTTCATTAGGTCACCTTTCAAGTATACTTCAGACAGTGTGCTAGTTGTTGGGAGTACAAAAATGAATAAGACACAGCCCTGGTCCTTAGGGAATTTGTTGTATAGATCTGTAAAAAAAGAGCACACACACCCAATGAAAATCTGACAAAAGAAAGTGCATTCAAGGATGTGGCTGTGCAACTGTTATCAGCTACTGGGGCAAGTGTAAATCGCTGTGAACATTTTAGAAAGCAATTTGGCAACAAGTTGTGTAGCTCACGGGATATCCGTGTGTTCTCGGTATATTCCAGTCCTCTTTGCATTTTAAGCAGAGCCATGTAACTAGGTGGCACAGTTTGCACTTGGCTAGGAACCGAAAGGTTGGCTGTTTGAGTCCACCCAGGAGCACTGCAGAAGAGAAAACCTGGTGTTCTGCTTCCGTAAAGGTTGCAGGCAAGAAACCTTATGAAGCAGTTCTACTCTGTAACACCTGGGGTCGCTATGATTTGGAGTCTACTCAACGGCACAAGACAACTATGACATATAACTCGTTTGGGTAAATGAATGGGAATAAAGAGAGTCCAACTTTGGGGATCTCAGCGAGGGAAAAGCTGATAGCTTTGAGACTAGAAATGTAAAAGATGAGATTAAAAATCTATAACCTAATTAAATGACTGAAAGTAAAGAGTGGATCACGGGTGTGGCGTTTCCACCAAAGCTCGGTAGCCTCCAGGAGGTTGTCTTTGAATTGAGAGTGAGATAGGCAGTGGGAGTGAGAGAATACAGACGGAAAGATTTGGGAGCATCTCTAAGCAAGCAGGGGGCACCTGGGACTGACTGGAAGCAAGTGGATTGAAAGTTTACTGAGTTTTTGAGAGAGTTTGACTTCCAAGGCTATCAGGAACCTCAGGAAAGGAAACATATTAATGTTCCAAGCCTGAAACAACCCCTCGGCCCCCCAGCTTTCCATGGGGAGAAACAGTAAGTAAGCAGAGAAAAGTGTGTTGCTTCTACTGAGGTATATTCCCCAAAGGCCACTCCAGATGTGTCCTAAGCGGGATAAAGGAGTGTGAGAGACAAGGATATTGGAAGAGAGCTCTTCCAGAATGCACAATCGACGAACACCTTGCTCCTACATATGAGAACTTACAATGTCTACTGTGCAGGTTTCAAAACTGTTACAGACCAAGGACTGCTTGGAGTACCTGGGTGGCGCAAATGGGTAAGTGCTCAACTACTAACCAAAAAAGTTGGCAGGTTGAACCCAGAGGCACCTCAGAAGAAAGCCCTAGCAATCTGCTTCTAAAAGGTCACAGTCTTGAAAACCCCGTGGAGCACAGTTATACCATGCACAAGTGGGGTTGCCATGGGTCAGAATCAACTCGATGACAACTGATTACTTACTTATTACTAACTTAATTACATAAGGATTGCTATGTTTTCTATTCTTACTCTTCCTATATGAAAATTCATCTTTGCTTTTTAAAACTTTAAAGAGGTCTTTTGCTGCAGATTTCCCAATGCAATAGGTCATTTGATTTTCTTAACTGCTGCTTCCACGGATGCTGAGAATTGACCCAAGTAGAATGAAATCTTTGACAACTTCAAATTCTTCTCCATTTATCATGACGTTGTTTATTAGTCCAGTTCTGAGGATTTTCTTTTTCTTCATGTTCCGGTATAATCCGTACTGAAGGCTCTAGTCTTCACCAGTAAGTGTTTCGAGTTGTCTTCTCTCTAGACAAGCAAGGTTGGGTCATCTGCATATTGCAGGTTGTTAATGAATCTTCCTCCAATCCTGATGCCACTTTCTTCTTCCTCTAGTCCAGCTTTTCAGATTGTTGTTCACCAGACAGATCGACTACCATACCCACTGATGATAGCAATAGAACTACTGACAAAATTACAAACAAACAAACAAAAACCCCGTTGCCATCAAGTTCCTGACTCATGGTGATGCTATGTGTTACAGAACAGAACTGATTTCCACAGGGTGTTCTTAGCTGTGATCTTTTTGGAAGCTAGTTGCCGGGACTTTCTTCCATGGCACTGCTGAGTCTGTTTGAATCGCCAACTTTGCCGTTGTTGTTGTGTGCTGTCAAATTGATTCTGACTCATAGCGACCCTATATGACAGAGTAGAACTGCCTCATAGGGTTTCCTAGGCTGTCATCTTTACTGGAGCAGATCACCGCGTCTTTTCTCACATGGGTCCACTGGATAGGTTGGAACCGCCAACCTTTCGGTTAGCAGCCAAGCACTTAACCACTGTGCCACCAGGGCACTGAGTGCAAACTATTTGCACCACCCAAGGACCAGAGTGAAATAGCAGTAACTTTCAATAATTTTAATCAAATACCATTGTTTTTTGAAGGATGCAGAACATTGTCTTTATGGACTATGTTTTGCCAATTGACCTGGCTGTCCGCTAAGACTATGATCCTAAGCCCTCGAG